TAGAGAGTCACCCAGGCAGGTGGTAACATGAAATTGGCTCTACTCTCTGTGCTCAGTTAACTGTTTCACAACAAGGAAAACGAGGCTCCATACCAGCCAATAACACAGGCAATGACTTTGCATTAACAGGAAGAGTCTAATGGCCTACAAAGAGGAAGTCAGGGGAAAACAAAAACAAAACAGATGACAAGTCTTTATTCCTAATACCGGAAACAAGACTATCAGTAACTTTTTATTTAATTCTTCAACTGAGCAAATATTTAAGCATTTTAACAATCTGCTTGTATTGTTCCCGTATTTAACAAAGAACCGTGATCTTGTTGAGGTTTGGTGACTAAAATAAGCCAAATGGAGTCCATTGGCACACTGAGTGTACTGGTTTTTCTCCCTGACACATTGGCTAAGAGTTCTCTGATGAAGAAAGTTGACTTCTTTGGATTTAAACTGAGCTGATGCATGAAGGTGAATATGCAGTTTATAGTATGTGGAACCAGCAAGTCTAGTTTTTCTGAATACTATGTTCTAGTTCTTGTTTTACTTGGCAAGGAATTTTCTCGCCTTGTAGTGACAGTAAGATGTTCAATGAGTAAGAGGAGATTTTAGCTCCAGAATTTGCAAGGCGAACTTAGAAATGATCTATTTCAGTTTAAGCAAACAAATTTGCACATACTTACAAGTAAAGGAATTTAAATAGTCTTCATTCAATATAAACATGTATATTTAATCACTTTTCGTTAAAAACATTCTAGAAGTTTTTAGGCTTTGTTTTTGCTTTTGTTTTAAGCTGCTACAGTATCGCCATCTCTTATCTGGATTCTGAAACAGGAAACACTCTAAAGCCCTTTTGTAATCCACAAAATTATTTGGTAAAAAAAAAAAAAAAGCTATGAAGTTTTTAAACGCTTTACATACCTGACTCCATGTGAATGTCTTATTGTAAACTTAGAAACATTTGATTGTGGGTGCCGTCCTCATACCCCGAGGGTGTCATACAGTGTGGACTAGTGTGTGTGTGTTCACTCTTCAGCTCTGAGAAACTCTGAAATCTGAAACACACATGCTCAGGGTTTGGATAAGGGACTATGAATTTGACTACAGCTTAGCACGTGCCTTTAATGTCTGTTTTGTTAGGGTAAATTTCATCATGCACAACAGATGTTTGAGTCAGATTCTTTGGGTTTGAATTCTGGTCGTTTATTAGCTGTGACTATACTCAAAGTTTCTTCACAGTAAAATGGGGATAATAACCATGGGAGTTATTCTAAAAATTGAGGTACAGGTGCAAAAACAGAAGAGTCTGGTAACTAGTTAACACCCAAAACATATCAGCTAGGACCGTCCATATTTCCAGTAACTACACATCTTCCCTCTTCTCTGCCTCTGTCCGGTGTCACCATCCTTTCTAATCTTGCCCAGTGTGGCAGACAAGTGTGCACCAGTTTCACATTGCTTTGCTCACGTTGCCTTGGTTTCTGATGATGTCGAAAAATTTGTACATTTTATGTGCATTTTTATACTGAGCCATTGTTCTTGTCACTTTCCAAAAGATAGCCCCTAGCTATTAAAATATCAGCAAGGGCCCTCCCTTGTGACGCAGAGGGTGAGGACACAGCAAGCTGGCCACAGCCGCTGCAGTGTGAGATCAATTCCCAGCCCTGGAGGTGACCACATGGCGCGGCAGACCAATCCAGACCGCCCCTGCTCCCCTCAGCAGTGTGCTTCATCAGTCGGCCTGTTCTGCTCCCCACTGTTGCTGGTGAATCCTGTCACCTCCCCTGCACCTCCGGCCTGTACCCCAATTCTGTATGCATAAATCTTTTAAAAAATAAAGTATCAGTGAACTATTTAGACTTAACCTGTTTTCCGAGATTCTGCAAGCTTCCTTCTGCCTTCTCTCCTTCTTGGCCCCGGCGCTATCCCTTCCCTTCAGCTTATGCTAGTCTGTACCTATTTTTTTTTTTTTAACATTTATTTACTTATGCATACAGAACTGGGGTACAGCCAGAGGTGCAGGGGCAGTGAGAGGATCCACCAGAGACAGAGTGGGGAGCAGAACAGGCAGATCGACGAAGTACACTGCTGAGGGGAGCAGTGGGCTGGTCAGGAGAGGTCTGCAGCGCCATGTGGTCACCTCCGGGGCAGGCGGGAATCGAACTCATGCTGAAGTGGCTTTAGCTTCTCAGTGCTGTGCTTTAACCTGCTGCACCACCAGGGAGGGCCCCAGTCCTTACCTTTTTTCTAGACATCTTCCTTTCATTAACATTCTCTTGCCCACATCACATTGTTTAAACTTCTGGCAGGTCAAATACTCCCTTACTTTTATTTTTCAAAATTTCCTTAGATAGTGACATATATTCTTCCAGATAAAAATTAAATTTTGTCAAATTTTCAAAATGCCTGCATTGGAAATTTAACTGAAACTTATTTCAGTATTCTCTTCCTATATATTCAAGGACATGAAATATATCCCTTTTTTTTTTCATTTCATAAACTTTAAAAGCCCAGCTAATAGCTATAGCTGACTAACAAACTGAAATATTCATGTCTGTTTAGTGTACGGCAAATTATAAATAAAATTAACATGTGAATTAATTAATATTGGAACAGAATGTGTCGTCCTCAAAGTTCTTATGTTGAACTGGAACACTTTAGTTTGCTAAATGCATTCACATGAAAAATACCTTCATCCTCAAAAGCAAATTCAGAGGAAGGTCACTTTTATGTGGGGTAAACAGATTCAAAGGAAAAAAAGAATGTCTTTCGCAGTTGTGTAGAACTATGTCGGGATGTTGTTAATTCCGGTGAATGGAATTTTTCCTGAGGACTCACGGTGCGCACATCCTGATTCCCAAGCCAGGCTTTATCTCCTGTGGTGGCAGGCTCTTCTCCCCACGGCCGCAGTAACCTTTTGGCTGTTTTGGCCAAACTACTTCTCAAGTAACTCAGGTGCCCCAGAGATCCAGCCCAGCAGTAGACTCTGACTGAGCCTGTGGTCAGGGTGTAGAAAGGCTCACCTAAAGGGACACCCCTGTTCTCTTTGCTATGGAGCCCCTCCTGGGCCAGTGACTGGGAAGGACTCTTCCTGATAGTGGAGGCATTTGCTTGGGAAGCTCTGCTCTGACACTCCTTCCCCTGGTTTTCTCCTCCCCCATTATGCTGCTCTGTATACAGTAAAAGGGAGCTTTGACTTACACCTCAAATTCAAATGAGAAGCCAGGCAGGCAAGGAGACACTCAGTGGGCCTTGAATGAGTCACTGTCCTATTTAGGATGAAGCAAACCTTTCACTAGTCATCCGGTAGCCACTGGGAGTGAGATAGTCTCAAATAGAAGATTTGCTATTTGGTAGAGTAGAAGGCAGAACAGTGTTAAAACAGAAGCGATAAGTCAAGAACAATGAAAATAATGTCACATTTCATTGATGACAGGTGAATTCCAAGTCAAGGGCTTTCTCTCTTTTATTTATTTTTGCCCAGAACTGGAGCACAGGCCAGAGGTGGGCAGGGGGTAGTGGAGGGGGAGAGGATTCACAAGAGACAGAGTGGGGAGCAGAACAGGCGGATTAATGAAGTACACTGCTGAGGGGAGCAGCAGGCAAAACAGGAGAGGTCTGCCACGCCATGTGGGTGACCTCCCTGGCCCAGGATCAAACTAAGACCTTCACAGTGGTAGCGCTGGGCCTTAACCCCTAGGCCACCAGGGAGACCCCTTAAGTCCTCTTTTGAAAAGACAGGTGACATTTACTGTTACAAAGATAGGAAAGCGGTATGCAGTGACTGTCCTAAGAAAGGTGAATTTAAAATGTTTCTGTTCATAAGATTATTAAATCTACCTATCTTGTTAAGGATGCAACACAGTGCACGTCAACAAGCTATGGCTTATCTTGAACTTGAAATCCAGGCATCTTTTATTATCTATAGTAGCCTTGTGTCATTCTGTTTCTTCACAATTATTTCCAGAAGTGAAACATGGGGAAAGAGAGCAGGTAATGTCAGGACTCTGGACATACTAGTTTTAATATTTTCCTTAGAACTCCACTGGGACTTCTGTGTCCTGGCAGTACTGGATTACCGAATCAGGGTAACAGGGTCCTGAGGAGAGATTTTTGTGAATAGAGCTATCAGCATTCAAGGCAGCATCTCCTCTGAAATACTCTGCTCTCCGGCCCCTGAACTTAAGGGAAACATTAGAACTCCTTTTATAGAATAAGGCAAGAAGCAGTGGGATACGGCTGAGGAACACAGGACAGCTGGCAAGGAGTTACTGCATTTTAGTTTGGGGCTGAGGTTTTAGCCAAACGAGCTTGCCAGGTTTAATTATCTCATTTATAAAAATGGAAATAAAGATTCTTAAAGAAGAATTCCTATGTCATAGTACCTGGAATAGTTTAATAAAAATATTTGATATCCAGCTGGACTAAAGTAGACAACAACAGGAAAAACCAAAATCTTATTGAGGGTCTGATATACGCCAGTGCAGGAGCGGCAGGTCAGCTTCGTAAAAGTTGCTAGTCCATGATGGTTACACACTAGGAATTCTAATCAAATGATGAATAAACTGCTTTTAATTAAATTTAAATAACCCATATTTCACACTAAAAGAAACATTCTTAATTTTAATACACTTCAAGGGTCACTATTACTCAACCTCAAAAGCAGATTAAATCAGTAGTAGAAAATAAAAATTCTGTATTTCTTTCCAAATATATCATTTATTGGCAGACTAATAATTCATAACAAGAATAATCTGCATAATGTTTTACATTTTTAAAAAATACTTTTCAAAGAGGCTCTTCAGGTAGCTCTAATGTTAAATAAGCACAGTACATAAAATTTAACAACAGAAAGTTCTGACACAGTGTTATATTTTTCTTCTCTATAAAGACTATTTTATAGATGAAGAGTAAATAATTTCAAACAATATTTTAAAATCTCTGTCAACCCAATACAAATTTAATCTAAAATGTCACTCTGAATTTGAAAAAAACACCAACAACAAAAAACAGGATTAATACATCAAAATAAATCGAAAGGTCACTCAAGACCTTCCTGAAAATAAAATTCAGCAAAATCAAGAAAACCAGTAATATAGATTAAAAACTTCAGCTGTGAAAACCTGAAAACTAAGAATTTTGGTTCACAGAGATCCACCACATTATTTTCTTTTTAATAACTATATATATTTTTATATTTACTTTAAGAATTACTGTATTAAAATATAATTATCACAAGAGCTTAATAAATAGCTCAATGTATTTTTTCTATTAAACACACACATGGATATACAAATATTCAGGAGGAATCTGTATCTTCTGTTAACAGATAACAAAAAACAACTGATGATGTCATAGTCTTTCACTAAATCTTACCTAGAAATAACTGGAAAGTAGTAAGACATATTTTTAATCACTTTGGTGTATAATTGAGTCAGATTTATTTTCAGAATTTCTTATAAGGGAGATTAGCTGGTTATGACAAAAATTAAGTAATTCAAAATTAATGCTTGATATTTAATAGTTTGAATATACAGATCTTAATGAAAATAAATATCCAAGCAATTGATATTTTGTATCTTAGATGAGGTAGATAAATTAAAATATTCTAAAACATGTCCTAACTTAAAAGAACATACAGTCACCAGTTCAACTTGGATGAACCAGATAGATGGGGAGTCTTTTTATTTGACGTATCTAACATATGCTTCAAGTACAAGGTCTCTGAGTATATTTACTACTCCCCCAAACCTTGGTAAACTGGAACTCATATATTTCACTTACTTACTCTTTACTTAACCTACCCAGGAAACTGTTATTCAGGCCAGAGACATCTGTGATTAAACAGATAGTTTTCATGTTTAAGTGGTACTTTCCCTTTACATACCTTTTATGGTAAAATACATCAGGAAAAGCTATGACTCCTCAGATATTGTACAATCAATAGTTACTTAGATGATAAAGAGTTAATAAAAATTTCAAGGTCGGCTAAAGAATTATGGAGCCCATCATGCACTTCTTGACTTCTAAGAAAATGTTTAAGAGTCTCTAAGGCAGTTACTGCCTCGGTTTGCGATGGTGAAGGGGGCTCGGTTCCCAGAGAGCCACCATCATCCTCTTCATCAGAAGCATAAAATCCAGTTTCATCTGCCTGACTTTCTGTCTTCCACACCGAGTCTCCGGCCGGCGCCGCCTCGCAAGCCTCCAGGTCATCGTCCAGGGCTGCGTACTCCTCCACAGACAGGCCTTCCGGGAACTCCACGCCCGCCGCCCTCGCATGGGCCACCAAGTCCAGCCCCGTGTCCAGCTCTGCCTTTGTCTCGTCACTTTCTCCCTTCTGAAATTTGAAGCCTGCCTCCTCGTAGCTCTTGACAATAGTCTCTGGGGTTACAGTCCGCCAACAGAGATGAAGCATATCAACTGCATCCAGTAGAGAAAATGTAAATTCTCGGCTGTCTTCCACAGAGCTTAAAAATTTCTTGATGAGACAGTGTCGATATTTAATTTTCAGGTTTTGAATAACACCCTGTTTCATAGCTATAAATTTGGAAGATAAACATGATGGGAAAAATGCTAACTCAATAGACTTAAGGTTCTTTACTTCTGGGTGAGAAGGAAAAGAATCAACAAAAATCACCACTCTTCGTTGCTGCGCTTGAAATTTCTCATCAAGCTGGCGCATCCACTGTTCAAATACATCTGAGGTCATCCAAGCCATTCTGTTAGCTTCATAATACACAGGCAATGATTTTATACCTTTGAAGCAACGTGGGTTCCTGTTTTTTCCAATAACAAGCAAAGGGAGTTTCTCTGAGCCATCCATGTTTGTGCCGACCACCAAAGTTATTCTGTCTTTGCACAATTTTCCAATTGAGCATGTTTCTCCTTTAAATGCAAATGTATTTGTAGGTAACATTCGATAAAGCAGCCCAGTCTCTTTTATATTAAAAACATTTTTAGGATGATAGTCATTTAAATAATAAGGAAGCACATTTTGGTGCCAGACAGCTGACGGGTCTACCGATATGCCCGGAGCTTCCACAGGCTGGGCTCTGAACACCAAACCATACCTGGATTTAAAGCGATCCAGCCAACCATTACTGCACTTAAAATCATTATGTCCCAGTTTCTGGGCAAAATCATTAGCTTTTAGACGTAACATTGGACCATTAACTGGGACATTTAGACACTGAGCAATTCGATACCACCTCATTAAAGCCTCTTCCAGATCTGTGTAAAAAGCAGTTCTCAGTCTTTTTCTCTTTGGATCAAATCTCAGAGATTCAAAGGCTTCTAGAACTTTGTCTTTATTCTTCATAATAGAAGATAACGAATTTTTCTTTATTCCATATTCAGCTGCGATCTCCGCTTTCTTCTTGCCACTTTCTACTGCATTTATAATGTCAATCTTTTCTTCAATGGAGAGACTTTTCTTCTTCTTTACTGTTACAGCCAGAGACGAGGCATCCCCAGAAGCTTCTGCCATCTCAATCAGTGTTTCTGTAGCGGTTTCTCAGATTCCTTGTATCTGTTTCTTCAATTAACTTTCTTTTCCAGTGTGGTACAAATTGCTGCTTTCTAGTCTATTTCATATACTGAAAGATTCTAATCACTTTGTTTCTCAAGAAATTGATGAGTAAATGTAATTTTTCAAAGGATTTGAATAAGAGAAAGGTTAGCTGCAGCTAGAAGATTTTAGAACAGAAACTACCTTCCCAGGACTTTATGTAGCTCACTTTATAGTTTATTCAGAGTTCCAGAAGTCAGGCTAAAATAGAAATCTCATTATGTCAAGCCTGTCCAGTCCTGCTGATATATTTTTGGAACTTCAATCCTTTAAGATGATCCATTTTATCCATGTGCGCATTCAACCTCTTATTAATTCTCCACAGAAGGCCTCAGAGATAAGAAGAAAAAGCATTCAGTAATTTTCAGGCAAAACATTACCCATTAATTTCCAAGTATCTTCAGGGTGGAGAAGAAAATGGCAAAATCCTTCTAGAACTTGACATATATTTTCTGTCTCTTGAAAATATTAAAAAAAAATCAGTATTAGCAACATTTTAACTGAATATCAAAAAGAACATTTATACTAATTAGCTATGCTTTTAATCATAATGAAAATAATAGCAACATGCTTCTGAAAACACAATTACCAAAGTTTCTAGGAGAAATGCTTACCGCCTAAAGCCGCCCTCGGTAAAAAAGCACTCTAACTCCACTTGGGCATGTTAATTCTTAGTTGCCTTTGAATACATACTTCTTAAATAAATCAGACAAATTTAAACTGGTTTGAAAATGTGGACTTACTGAAATTAAAGCACTAAAAATGATGCTGGCAAGATCCTTGGTGGCTATCTTTTACATGAAGTCACAGACTGCCCTCTCTGACTTCTCTAAAGAAAAACACACTCAGACAGCAGTCACAAGGTTCGACTTTTAATAGCATGTGGGAGACGATGTCTCCTAGAAGTCTGGCAGAAGATGGTTCATGAAAATGCAAATCAAATTATTCCATTATACATTTTAAAAATCCAAATCTTATTCTACCTAAATGCTTAAAAACCCAACAACTCTTCTTTCAATTTGACACATTAGCCAAGCACGCAGGGACCAGGAATAGTTGACAAAATGCATGGGAATAAACAACTAGGTGGAGAAAGTGTAGAAGACCTAGGCTAAGAGTAAGGAGGAGTGACTGAGTCTTGGTCTGAACCTCAGAGGATCTCTGTTATCTATAAAAGAAAAGGTTGATCATAGTATAAGGATATGGACTTTGGTGCCAAACAGGCCTGCATTGAGAAAGTGGCTGCCAGTTAGTACTTTCTGTGCTCCTGGGTAATTTCCTTAACCATCTGAACCCTCAATTCCTTATCTGTAAAATAGGAGTGACTATTTTACAGTTACTGCAGATTTGATGAGTTTCAGTGAGAATGTAAGGCTTAACATAGTACTTAGCACCTTCCAAGATGTTCAATAATGTTTAGTGACAATCTCACCATCATTATTTATACGAATTTTTTATACTCTTTGACTGTGTCAACCTATAAAATTCAGGGTTTACAGAATCCTATTTGCAAACATAAGCAACAGTCTCACCTTAAATATATTCTGAAACAGTACTGCTGTATGAACAGTCACAGGTCCCCAAATGGGCTCGCCACTGCCTTCCCAGCTAGCATGCCCCCTTCTAGAATCTCAGGTCTACCCCAGGCCAAAGTAAGAAGTTCAGTGGATGTTGCTAAGGTGTGAAAGTGGGGGTACTCCATCCTATCATTCTTTTCTGATCCTCCAGGTTTCAAGATGATACGTGATTTCTGCACAGTTTTTTTTGGCCAAGCTTTTTGTCAAAACTCCTCTGCCTTGGCTGTCCAAATCAAAGGAGTCATTCTGTTTCATAGGAATTACAAACCAGACCAGCTTTTTCCCTAACAAAAAGAATAAAACACTAAGACTGCCTAATCAATGGGGATGACATTTTAATCCTAGAGTATAACATTTGGGACTACTTTTATTATTATTATTATTATTATTAGCAGGAATTAATGGTAGAAGTACTCATTCTCTCAAGTAAACTCACTATCCCTTGAAAATACTAGAGCAGGGAAATGCTGTATGTAACACATGTTAGGGAGTGCTTGCACTATGTCAGTAGTAAAGCTAACTGAAGAATAAGAATAGGGAGAATTCACCAAAAAGAGACTTACTAATTGAACTCCAAAGGAAACCATGGTCAACTATACTATTAGTAAAATATAAATCTTCAAAAGGAGACACCCTGGTTTTTGTTTTTGTTTCTGCCTGTCAGAAAGACAGTATCTAGCGTTTGCCAGGATATGGTAACATGGGTTGTTCGGAAGCATATCACCTGGTACAAAGCTTATAACGGAGGGTAAATCAGCACTAATACCTGAGATATGTGCAGAGCTTTTACCAGCAAATTCATACCTAGGATTCTATCCCAAGTGAATAATTGCAGATGTAAAAAAACCTACTACGTAACATATATTTTTTCTATATCTCTGTAACAGCTGCCACACATTTAGTGACTTAAGACAACACCCGTTTACTGTCTCATTGGCTTTGGGTTGAAAACCCAGGTGGTCTCCATAGAGGCCTGTATTTAGGGTCCCATAAGGCAGCGATCAGGTGTCAGGCAGGTGGTGCTCTCCTCTGGGAGCTCCAGGTCAGACTCTGCTTCTGGGCTCACTCATTTCATTTGAAGCCCCTGGCAGTTGTAAGAGTGAAGTCCCTGGGGTTTTTGTTGGTGGTCAGCAGAGAATTTTCTCTTCCTAGAGGCCTACCTCCGCTCCTTGCCTGTGGCCCTCTTCATTTCTTGTGCAGGATTTCTCTCAAGCCTCCAGTTTCTCTGACTTCCTCTGTTGTCGCTACTGCAGAAAATACTCTGCTCTCAAGTCTCAAGTGATCAGTTTAGACCCACCCAGCTATTTTCCCCTTTGATAAACTCAAAGCCAACTTACATTTGCAAATAAATAGTACCTGCTTTGTGAAAAAACATATTAATATCAGTAAAAGCAATAGCAGTGCAAAGGTGAATGAGTAGATAATCCCTATGTCATAAATATATATGGCAGTTATTCCCTTTTTTCTTTCTGACCTTTCCAAACATGCCAATCGAGAAAAAGTAGTACTTTATTCTTGCTAGCAGAATGGGGAGGCAGAATTCTTCAAGCTCATGGGCAAAGGGAAAAAGAAAGAACAGGTGATAGACATCCCACATCTAAGCAGAGATAGATTTAAAATAAGTTTTTTAGTATGAAAAAATTTCCCACAAGTCCAAAGAATACATGCTACTACTTCTTTTTCCCAAAGTAAGTCCACAGAATTTCACCAGCTGAAGTAGCTTCCAGGATTTTCTGCAAGCCAACCTGAATTCTAATTTCCCCAAGGGGCAGCAGGAAAGATTAAAACTGTTAACAGTCTTGCACAGCAAAACACTATGTATGGGACTAATTATGCACAGGACCAGCATCACACTAAGTACTACCTAATTTGATCCATAGCACTTTCACCCAGTAGAAGTTGGCATTAGCTCTAAGTCCACCAGAATCTCTATCAATACCACCAGCAGCTACCAAGGAAACAATCCAGGTAAGGATAAATAACAAGCAGATGCCCATCTTTCTAATATAAGAAACACCTCTGAGCCTATGTCCATAGTGAAGCTAAGTGTCTCCAAATGCAAGAAACAGCTTGCAAGAATCCAGTAAGGCACCAGCCAGCTCAAAAGGTTAAGTGTGTGTTGTTCAAGCACCACTGAGTACTGCGTGAACCTCCAAGTCACTCTTCTGAAATTCTAAGATGAACACTTGGACGTAGCTACTCATCTCCACTCCATACTTATACAATAAGAGCAGTAATTATCCTAGATTGGCATCTTTATCTTCCATGAGAAAATAAACCAGGGTGACTCTGACATTCATAGCAGGCTATAGCACTAAAATTATAGCTGGAAAGATACATTTGCTGTTTTTGGTTACGCCATTTAAAATAAGAGCCGGTACCGGATGTCAGTACCGTTGTCAAAGGTGTCTTGGAGATCTTAGACAACAAATTGTTATCTACTTTTGAAAAGACTTGGTGTCACCTAATAGTCATGGCTAAAGTGACCACATCTATACAGGGATGTACTTTCACTATGGTGAAGCTCCCCAGAAAAGCAGAGTTCTGCATGTAAGTATGTAGTCATTAAAAATGTCTTGTCCGCGACCCTCCCTGGTGGCGCAGCGGGTTAAAGCACAGCACTAAGAAGCTAAAGCCACTTCAGCATGAGTTCGATCCCCGCTGTGCCCCGGGAGGTGATCCACAAGGTGTGGCAGTCCTCTCCTGACCCACCCGCTGCTCCCCTCAGCAGTGTACTTCCTCTATCTGCCTGTTCTGCTCCCCACTCTGTCTCTGGTGAATCCTCTCACTGTCCCTGCACCTTTGGCCTATACCCCAGTTCTATATGAATAAATACATAGATTTTTAAAAAAATGTCTTGTCCGCCAAGGGGAAAAGCAAAGGCAGACGAGATGTACCGTGGAGAGAAGTGGTAAATCTTACAGAGTGTACCTGTCGTCCTTTACAAGTCTACAAGTGAAATGGTGGTAAAAGTGAGTGAAATGGTAGTAAAACTGAGCATGGGAAGTTGTCAAAAGAAAAGCAGTTCCGAAGTTTAAGGGAAAATGTGCGTGGCTGGATCAGCTCCCTGTGCTGCCTGTGAGTCTCAGGTTATGATAGCAGCGCCGTGGACTCACACATTCCCTCCAATCAGTGCTGGGGATTGGGATACGTCAATTTAGGAAACAACAACGGGCTCTAGAAGGAGTTGTTGAACGATGTCTGTAGTTAGGAGAGCGACCTACTCTGTAGCTAGGAGAGCAATCTACTTGCGGAGTAACGGGGAAAGCAGAGAAAGAAGTCGATCAGTAGGAAAAGGAAAGAGTTGTAGGAAAGAATAGCATCAGGGACTCACAGAAAGTGATCCCAAAGCCAAGTAACAGGAACTCCGGGACGTCGGGCGTGGGGGGTCTGGTACTCCTGAAGGGGGTGGGCGCGAACGATGTTGCCGGAGGAGGGCTCTCGGCTTAGGCGAAGCAAGAACGAGACACTCGCACCCCGCCAGCTTCCTAACCCCGCATCCTCTCCGCGCTCCCACCCCTCGGGACTGGAATAACCTGCTGCGTGCTCTCCGGCAGCTGAGCAAGAGGCTTTGGCTCTCCAGTGGCACTCGTGGCGGTGAGCTACGTCTGTTCCGCCCTCCCGCCGGCTCACCGTCTGGTGGGGGACGCCTAAAGCGTGAGGCCGGGGTGTGTGAATGAGAAAGATGGGGCGCTGTGGGCTTCTGGAGACGCCCGGCCACTCAAAATCAGGCCGACGCGCCCTTCCACTAGCTCCCAGCTCTGGCAGGTGCATGGAGACCCGCGCTCACACCCCTCTATGATCCCGCGGCGGCCAGAAAATTACCGGGGCAACGGCGACAGCGAGGCCCCGGATGTGGTTGCTAGGGCCGCAGCGCGAGGGGCGGGGCTAGCCGTCCGTGGCGAGGCAGAGGGAGCCTCCACTGAGGTGCGCGCACCATCGAGACGTGGCGGGACCCGTCACATGGAGGGAGAGAGGGGCCGTCCAGGACAGACCAGCGCTACTTCCGGCCTCCTCACTTCCGGCTCCGCTGCTCCGGGCGCTGGAGCCGCAGGGCGAGTTGAGAGGCTGCTGGCTCTGGTGTCCTCGGCGGTTGGTCAGTGTGCGGCGGTGACAGCTGCTGTTGCTCCCCGCCCCCCGAGGATCCGTGGTGTGTGGGGGGGAGGGGAAGGAAAAAAGGCCCAGGTCGCGTTTCCGCTCATTTCTTGCCAGGCTTCGGGCGATTCAAGAGAGCGGCGGCAGCGCTAATCCTCGACGTGAGAGCTGCCGGGTCGCCCGCAGACAGGTGAGGGCGGAACTGGCGGGCTGGGAGAGGCGGGGCAAGCTGGTCTGGGGTGGTGGGCGGGAGCGGACACGTTGCCTTCGGGGTTCGCTGTTCGAGACTCTGGACACTTCTTCCCTTAGTCTGCGTCCGATCTGCCCGAGTATTTGGCTTTCGGTTTCTATCCCTTCATCACTCCTGGTGCCCTGAGTGTACCCCGGAACAACCGGGTGAAGAGGGTGCTTCCAGGGCAGCACCCTCTGTTAGCTTTGCATGCATTGGGTGGGCTAAGGGCGGCGTGATCCAGGTCTTAATCAGCTTAAGTCTCGGCGGGGCCACCTTCGGAAAGTTTGGTATCCAGCCGGATCCTCTCCTGGCCGTGCCCCACTTCCTGTCTCCCACCGAGAGGGGTGGGGAGACAGGGATCGTCCCTTGGAGAGGTTCTCTGGCCAGCGGTGCCGGGAGGAGCCTTGCCTAGGAAATGTCCCAAGCCTGACTGTGCTTATGAGGCCGTCCAAGGAATGCTGGAGTTTGGGAAGTAGGTCGTGCTGTTGTCTTGTTCGTTCTCTTGCCAATTTACTACTGTTTACGTGTCCAGGAAAAAGTTTTGTGTCGCGTGTGCGTGTTGAAGAACAGAGTCTAGAAGCTTTTCCCTTTTATTTTATTATTGCTTCCTTTGTTTTGTTCTTATCTCCCTCTTGAGCCCTTTGATCGCAAGTTTGTGGCTTACACTTACAGATCTTTCGGCCACCACCTACTAAGACTTTTTTCCTCTCCCTTTCCTCCTAGGTTAAAGGGTATCACATCTCTAACTTTATTCTTATTTGATAAGGGAAAATGGTAGATTTACACAACTTTTCTAAAACCTGTGCTTTCATCTACAAGGGTGTGTTCACGTCTGCCATTTAATGAACATATTGGCATAGAAATGTGCACCAGAATTGGTATGTTAAGTCAGCCCAGTGTTAAGGTTGCAGGGTTAGTGTCATTGCTGCCACAGGTTTCTCGCTTCCCTTTTAGTATCATTTAGTAGGTTATTTTTCGGTTCTCACATTGCTCAAAAATTTCCCATGTAAATTAATGGTAATAGCATTCCCAAACCCCAGTCACACTAAATAGGAACTTTCTACATCCGTATAGTAGGGAAAACCTGTATCTTTAAATGACTACGAGTTTACCATCTGTTAATACTGTTTTTAATTCCACCTTTTTCCCATTTGCTCTGTTTTTTTCCCTTCTGGTTGAACATGACCATCACCAGCACCTGATCACATCTAACAGTCATTATCTGAGAAAGTGGACAGTATTTCTAATCTTATCTTTTGGATTAAATCTCTGCCTTGGTACTTTGGCTTCCTTTTCAAATTGATAAATTAGCTTTCCTTGCCTCGTGTTTGTCTTAATCCTGAGGGGCTGTGGCCCATGACCTAAGGTCATTGACTCTCATTCTCATCCCCACCCGTGAAATTATGTGCAAAGTTTTGTTTGTATGCATTCCCCCACTCCAGGAAATGTCCATTCATTTTGTCAGATAGTCAGAGGAAATATAACACCTCCGATGATTTAACACCACTCCTTAGAAAGAGACTTGCTAAAGTTAATGAAACTTTTTTTGTAGAAGCTTATGCTTTCAAAATATAAATGATTTGTTTTGAATCAAGGAGAGTAAAATGCAGAGATTCTGGCATTATGCTGAAATCTTTTAGTTTACTACAAACCTTCATGGTTTCTAAATTTCTTTCCAGAACTAGAGAAGGAAGTAAAACTGCCTGCTTATTTATTTCCTGAGCCTGCTTATTTAGTTCCTGATTTGTGGTTTTGAGGTTTCTTTGTAGTGATAGCTGGTTGTGGCCAATGCTGTGAATATCCAGTGAATTTATAAATTGGTGTTTCTGCTATTGATGTGTCGTGATAACATATTAAAGATGCTAGATAACATATTACTAGCTGCTCAGTACAATTCAAAGTAAAATATTTAAATGGCTTTAGTGCTTTACTCTCATTTTCTTGCTTTTCACTTGCAGCGTCATCTCCTGTAGGCTTTGGCTTTTCTAGGATGTTTCAGTTAGGTGCTCCCTCAGCTCTGGTACGGTGCACTTTATCTCGACCTAGCCTTTTGCACTTTATCTTGACCTCACATTACTTTCCGTTCTATATAAGGTGTTTTAGTGATTGTTTCTCATTTGTAAAAAAAGTTATTATCCTTCCAAGTTTAGAAAGTGTGATTAAGCTTACTGATTTCCTGGGGTTTCTGAAGTGTTTGTTGGTTGAAGGTAGAAGTTCTAAGATTAACCCTTGTTGGTAGAATGTAAGAACTTGAAGAGGCCTATACATTGCACTTGAGTCCAGAGAGTAACCAAAGTACTTTCCTTCTGTCTGACATTGTCCTCACATGGAGAAGCAGAAAACATAACTTTTCTAAAGGAAACTTAACTTTTAGAAAGAAAGAGCAGAGTATGATCAATTACCTTCTTTCTAAGGATAGAGTCAGAAAGTAGATTATATTGTAACAATATTTGTTTGTGTACTGTATACTAGGCACTATGCTGAAATGATGATTTCATCTGATCCTAAAGGCAGTTTATAAAAGTGGCTAAATTTCCCATTTATTAGATGAAGAAACTGAAATTTAATGACTAACTGATATACTTTACAACATAAAGTAATGGACCCAGAATTACACTGCTGGAGCCAAAATTGAGTATGGAGGTCAGACTCCAGCCTGTGATCGCTTTACTTCTAGTCCACAGTCTGCTTCTACCAAATTTCCTTTGTCATTGGAGGAGTTGGGGTTATTGCACCATTTTCTAGCAAATGTTAAGGAAGGGTCCTTCCATTTTTTTGACTGAACACCTGTTTGAATGTCATACTGAAAAGAATGATAAAAAGAAATGAAGGTTTATGCAGTGTTGATAGAGTTTTCTCATGGAGATTGACAAATCTGAATGTGGAATATATGTGTTTGATTATGACAGGGGGAGTGGAAAATGAAAATAAAGGTTTTAAGAAGTGAACTTGGCATTGAAAAAGTCTGGCGATATAAATGCATTTCAAAATAATAAATTTATGCTGGAGTAAAGGATAAATTAGGATGAGGAGTAAATGCAGTGAGGAATTAGGATAATATGGATATGGATTTAAAAACTAGCAATATGTACTGGAAAATGGGCAGTTCTATACAGTATGAAAGATAATGAATTTATAGACTATGACAGTCTAAAAGTCAGTTCAGTATTGTAGGATGTATATAGGAAAAGCTATTTCAAAAACAGTCAGAAAATAATCTTGTTATCTTTAGTCTAACTTTTAAGCGCTGAATAGCTCTTGGAAATTTCTACCTATTCTGTGCAACACAAATGTATATATTTTCTTTTTCCTTTATTTTTCTTTTTTCTTCTTCCCTCCCCTGCTTATTCCCAACTCTTCCACTACTTCTAAACCTTTCTCTTAAAATGATTATAGGCCAGTATTGCTGAAAATGGTTCAATTGTTTGTGGAAATATAGCAGCAGTAGCTTTGCCATAGTCTCACTGACGAGTTCTAAATTACTTCATTTTGTTTATCTGGTAGCATTGGACTGGGGGGACTAGCAGCCCCTAGTTGTTCAGATTTGAGCCCCTTTGGTCCTTTGGAGAAGTGTGAGTGCATATCTTTGGAGCAGGATTGAGTTGGAAGTGAAGCCTAAATCATCCGGAGCAGGGAGTCCATGGACTAACTCCAGTTTCTGTAGCATGAGAGTGAGTTTCCATTTTCCTTTTTGGCTTGATGATACACATAGAAAATAATTGTATTTGTCTGCACACTAAAGCCAGGCTCTCCTTGGCTCCCTGAAGGCTGAGAAGACAGGGTCGATGTTTCACTGCATCTGTAATCCATTCTTAACACATTGGTATTGCCCTAGAGAAGGAAGACGAATGTGCTGTTCTTTGTTTAATAACTTCTGTAAATACTAATTTACAAAGCACTTTCACATATATTACTATTTTATTTTTATTCCAGCCATGTCAAATAGATAGAGCAGATCGCATTATAATGTTACAAATGAAGAAATGGATATTTTAGATAAAGTGCTTTGTATTAGTGCACACACATACTAAGGATGGATCAGGAATTGATCAGGGGGGACTCAGTGGGGTAGTAAAGCAGTGTCATGTAACCTCCTGAATGGCTGGCATTCTTGTTTCAAAGTGCTACCTTCAAGCACCCGGGGCAGTGCCAAATACATAGTAGTTACCATTATTGAGTGCTACTCTAGATTACTGTGCTTTGTAGGTGCTCTGTGTGTTCTTCTTATTTTCTAAAAGCAAATGAGGAAACAGATACAGAAGCAGCAGAAGTGACTGATCCAGGGTAACCCAAGCAGTAAAAAGAGAACAACAGACTCATGCAGAGTTACTCAACTCCAAAGCTTGCACTCTTTTACTGTAGTAACTACCTAGTTTCATGACACTGCAGGGTAAAGGTTGGCTTCCAACTGCCATGCTTGACATTGGTGGCAGAGCAGATAATGATGACATTGGTGAAAGGGATACAAGCAAGTGAACTAGTGTTTTTAGCAGTTTTGAGGTAGACTTTAGGGATGGTGGCTATCCCATAGCATTTCTAAAGTGTTTGGGAGTGGGGTGAGCTGGAAGAGACATGTGGTAAAACTCAAAGGAAGGAGGGCTCTCCCTGGTGGCGCAGCGGGTTAACTATAGCCACTTCCACATGAGTTCGATCCTGCTTGCCCTGGGGGAGATCCACATGGCGAGGCAGATCTCTCCTGACCCGCCCGCTGATCCCCTCAACAGCGTACTTTGATCATTTGCCAGTTCTGCTCCCCACTCTGTCTCTGGTGAATCCTCTCAGCCTCCACATCTCTGGCCTGTACCCCAGTTCTGTACGAATAAATAAATCTTTAAAAAAAAAATTAAAAAACTCGAAGGAATTTGGGCCAATGGCACTACAGGTACTTCTAATGAAAGTGTTAAAAATGTAGGTTATGTGGTAGCTGTTGATGATTAAAGGTAAGTTTATAAATGTATTTTTTTGGTCCATATTTCCTAATTTTTCTGTGTGGCATATTAATTACTTGTAAAGTAAAAAATACTTCTAGGGGTCTACCTGGTGGCCTAGGGGTTAAGTCTCAGTGCTATCACTGCTGTGGCCTGAGTTAATACCCCTGTCCAGGGAACTGACCCACATATGGCACAGCAGACTCCTGTCTTCCCCGCTGATCCCCTTAGCAGCATAATTCAGTAGAATTTACCTGTTCTGCTCCACACTCTGTCTTTGGTGAAACCTTTCACACACTCCATACCTCTGGCCTACACTCCAGTTCCAAAATAAATATTAAATATTTTAATTATACCAGTAATATATATTCTTGAAATAAAATTCAAATAATATAATAAGCAAATGAAATGATAATTTCTATTTCTCTGTCTCTATTGTCCACACCTACTCCCGGTTAATTCACAATGGGAAGCCATTGAAATGTGTTGAGGAAGTTCTAAGCCTCTCTGTCTTAATACCATGGCCACTAGCCACATGTGACTACTTAAATTGGTTGATTAAAATTAAAAGTTCAAGTCCTCAGTCACACTGCCCATATTTCAAGAACACAGAGCCACAGTGGCTAGTGGCTACTCTGTTGGGCAGCAAGGGAATAGTGTGTCTCCAGCAACATCTCCCAAGTCAGCTCAGACTTTAAAATACTAGACGTTAATAACATCACTGGACTGGTGAACCTAGATTTTTGAAATCTGTGTTGTCCATGGTACCTAGCAATTTTGTTTTAGCTGATGAAATAGTATTGCCATGTTTTCTTTCAACTTTTTTTTTTTTTAACTAAATCCAGATGGATGGTTCAAGTATAATATTTGTCTTGGCTATTTGGGAATTTATAGCGAGCTGCTTTTCTGTGAAAAAGATGTCAGCTTTCCTGAGCGCATAGGTGTTTTCTGTCTCCTTCGAGCTCTGGACCGCCATATATTTCTAGTTGACACCCTCTCTTGAAGATCTTAAAGATCTTAAAGATATATTAAATGGCATCTATTTAAGATTAAATTAATTTCTCTTTGTTTCCCAAATAAAATACCAAATGTTGGTCCTCTTTTTTTAATTCTCTTCATCCTTGGTTGATTTTACTGCTCATGTTCTTGGACATAGGCCTTATGAAGAATGAGGCCACAGAACACTGAGTAACTTAGAGTTTCAGCTGCTTTTTGCAAGTAATTTGGTTTTGAGAGTCTTACCCTACTTCCCTCATTTGTTTTTCTGTGACACAGTCTAAATGGGGAAAATATAAGGACTTCTTCAAGTAGTTACTTTTGATACTTGGTTAAAAGTTGGTAATGATAGTGGAGATGGGAATAGTGAGTATCTGGTTGACTTTTAGATTTCTTCTCACGATGCATACAGTTGAGGTTGACCATGTGTGTAGTGCATCTGACTGGTGTGCGTCTGACTTACTGAGCAACCTGAACTTAATTTACCACGATGTGAAGGGACTTAGTGGCATCTAGCAAGTAGCTTTTATAGGTCCCAGATGGTTGCTGATGCAAATGCTTCTCTTGTCTTATTTCTTTTTATTTGCTTATTCTGTTTATGAAAGGAAACATAATTGCATATTATGTGGTAAGCCATTTTGGGGATTTTCTGTCATTGTGTCCATTCATTCTATATTGGAAGCTATTAATTTTAAGTGTTAACTCGGTAGCCTGTTCTTTTCATTGAATTCTTTCATTTTTTTGAGTTAGTTTTACTATTAATTCTTTGCAGTTTTTTAAATGTATTATCAAAACTGCAGATAGTGATAGTTTTACTTCTTTACTTATTCTGATTGATTAATCTTAACCTAATTGTATTGGCTAAATTCTATAATAAAATGTTGAATAGTAGCAGATGGTGGACATTTATGTCTTGTTCCTGATTTTGGTGGAAAAGCCGCTGTTTTTTATTAAGTAAAAGATAGTTATAGGACAAAAGTGTATATCTATTTTACTTGTTGAACAAGATCCCCTTAACTCCTTATCTCTTGAGAATTGAATTTTGAATGGCCGTTGGGTTTTGTTGTTATTTATGGAATTACGTGTTTGTTTCTGCTTAGACTTGCGATATGGTATGTATTAATACATTTCCTTAGCCAATTGAGGAACCAAAATTCCTGAACACATCTTCTTGTTCTTGTGTTACTTTCTTAGTGTGGTATTTGATTACACTTGGAAACAATAAATTTATCCTCTCCAGCATGTGAGGAATAAAAATTTGTTTCTTTGCGGGACCTCCCTGATGGCACAGCCGGTTAAAGCACTGCACTGAGAATCTAAAGCTGCTTCCGCATGAGTTCGATTCCCGCCTGCCCCGGAGGTGACCACATGGCGTGGCAGACCTCTCCTGACCCGCCCGCT